GGATCAAGGATGGGAGTTGGAACATAGGACATGAAAACAGAAGCCTGTTACCAAACACAAGCACCAGTCCAAGCACCTAGGCTTGGAAGGAATCCCAGCTCTCGTCTAGCCCAGTGGTTTTCAAACTGGGTACCTGGAGGCTACAGGACAAGGATTCACAACTAGGGGCACATTAGAGACTCCTGAGCAACCTTAAAAGTACCCATGTTTGTCAGGCACAGCAGCTCACACCTGTAATCCTGGCATTTAAGAGGTCGAAGTGGGTGGATTACTTGAGCTCACAGGTTTGAGACCAGCATGAACAAGAGCGAGACCTCGCCTCTAAAAATAGCCAGGTGTGGCAAGCACCTGTAGTCCCAGCTACTTGGGAGGTTGATGCAAGAGAATTACTTAAGCCCAGGAGTTTGAGGTTGCTGTGAGCTATGCCATAGCACTCTACCGAGGGTGACAAAGTGAGACTCTGTCTCCAAAAAAAGAAGGATCCATACTTGGGCCCCACCTCCAGAGATTCTCAAGTGGTCCCATATGGGGCCTTGGCCAGTGTAACCTACAGCAAGGGTTATTACTGCTGTGTCAAGGCTGTTGACAAAGGCCCTGGGGATGGGGACAGGAACTCCTGTCATTTCCATGAGGGCATCTCTTTTTTTCTTCTTTTTGTTTTTACATATTCTAGTCCCATTCCCTTGTATTTTTTTCTTTTCTTTCATGTTTTTCTTTTTTTGAGACAGGGTCTTGCCTACACTCAAGGCTAGAGTGTAGTGGCATCATAGCTTACTGCAACCTCAAATTCCTGAACTCAAATTCCTGGTCCTCTTGCCTCAGCCTCCCGAGCAGCTGAGACTATAGATATATACCACCATGCCCACCTAATTTTTGTATTTTTATAGAGACTCTTTTTGTTGTTGTTTGTTTCTTGCCATTTGTTTGTTTTTTTGGTTTTTTTAGAGACAGAGTCTCACTTTATCGCTCTTGGTAGAGTGCTGTGGCGTTATACAGCTCACAGCAACCTCCAACTCCTGGGCTTAGGTGATTCTCTTGCCTCAGCCTCCCAAGTAGCTGGGACTACAGGCACCCGCCACAGTGCCTGGATATTTTTTGTTGCAGTTTGGCTGAGGCCAGGTTTGAACCCACCACCCTTGGTACATGGGGCCAGCGCCCTATTCCCTGAGCCAAGGCACCACCCTGTTTGTTTGTTTTTAAGATGGATTCTCACTCTGTTTGTTTATGAAACAGAGTCTTACTCTGTTATCCTGGGTGGAGTGTTGTGGTATCATAGCTCACAGCAACCTCAAACTCTTGGACTTGACTGATCCTCTTGCCTCAGCCTCCAAAGTAGCTGGGACTACAGGCATGAGTTACTACACTTGGCAAATTTTTCTATTTTTAGTAGAGACAGGGTCTTGTTCAGACTGGTCTTAAACTGAGCTCAAGCAATCCACCTGCCTTAGCCTCCCAGAGTGCTAGGATTACAGGTATGAGACACCATACTCAGCCCCATCCCTTCATTTTACACATTAAGAAAATGAAATCGGCTCGGCGCCTGTGGCTCAAGTGGCTAAGGCGCCAGCCACATACACCTAAGGAGGCGGGTTCGAATCCAGCCCAGGCCTGCCAAACAACAATGACGGCCAAACCAAAAAAATAGCCAAGCATTGTGGTGGGCACCTGTGGTCCCAGCTACTTGAGAGGCAGAGACAGGAGACTTGCTTGAGCCCAGGAGTTGGAGGTTGCTGTGAGCTGTGATGCCACGACACTCTACCCAGGGGGACAGCTTGAGGCTCTGTCTCAAAAAAACAAAAAAAAGAAAAAGAAAAAGAAATCCAGAGGTCACACAAGATCATACAATTCATCCAAGATTACACAATAAGTCATTCACTTATCCTTTCAACAAAGACTAAGTAAGTGCAGCAGATGCCAGGCAGCCTGTCTGCCCAGGATGGGATAGGGAGCCACAGCTGACTGTTGGAGCACCACAGCTCTCCTAGGGGCTGCAGTAGTTATACCCTGCCATGCTGTTTCCTCTTTCCAGGCTGAATGTTTTGGAGTCACACCTCAAATTCAGTTGTCCTGTCCATTCTTAAAGGACCTAATTCTGCCTGTCCCCTCTTCCTGCTCATGGATCCCCACATCCCACCCCAGAGACCTCTCACAATGGGTCCTAGACTGTCAAGCTGTCACCCTGGGTAGAGTGTTGTGGTGTCATAGCTCACAGCAACCTCCAACTCTTGGGCTCAAGTGATCCTCTTGCCTCAGTTTTGTTTCTATTTTTAGTAGAGATGGAGGGGTCTCACTTTTTGCTCAGGCTGGTCTTGAACCCGTGAGCTCAATCTATCCACCTGCCTTGGCTTCCCAGAGTGCTGGGATTACACGCATGAGCCACCTTGCCCAACCCAGAATGCATCTTAAATTGAAGCCATGCATGGCTTAATTGATGGTATTGTTTTTTTTTTCTTAGCAGTACATAAAATAACAGTATATATGACAATTGATGATATCTTAAATGCAGTGAAATACAGTAGTATTTACAAGATTAGAGGTCCAAATATGTTTTTATACAATGGTTGGAACTGTGCTCAATGAATATTCAATAGGTATTAACTATTATAATCTCTTGCTTGAAGACCTTCCCTAGTTCCTCTTTGCCTGAAGAATATAGATTTGGCCTCTATATACCCTGACATTCAAGGCTTACCATCAGTAGCTGCCAGCTATCTTATCTACTTCTCAGAACAGAGCTGTTCAAACACAGGTGTAACTGGAATCTCCACTTGAATGCCCCTCAGGCATCTCATACTCTGCTTGTCCAAACTCACCTTCCACCCTGACCCCACCTGTTTCTTTCTTTTTTTTATTAAATGATAGCTGTGTACATTAATACAATCATGGGATACAGTGTGGTGTTTGCATATACAATTTGAAATATTTTCATCAAACTGGTTAACATAGCCTTTATGTCATTTTCTTAGTTATTGTGTTCTACTTTTAGAAAGATTCCCCTTGTGAGATAAACCATAGAGGTGATACCTTCAATCACCCTCCCTCCACCCATCTACCCCCCCCTCCTCCCCCTCCTCCCTACCCATATCCACCTGTTTCTTGTGACCTCTCCTAAGGTTGATGGCAGCACCAACTATATCCTGAATGTCTACTTCCTTCCTCTCTTCCTCTAATGCCCACATATCAGTAACCAAATGATCTACCACTTCTTAGAATTTGGCCCCTCCCTGCCCCAAAGCTTTATCTCTCAGTACTGCCAACCCTAATGCACTTTCCACAGCCAACTTCTGGTTGCCCACACACTTCCCATTTTCTCATGTCTCTGTGCCTTTGCCCAGGCTTTTCCCTAAACTTAGACAGCGTTTCTCCTTTGGCTGAGATATGACTTTTTCTGAGAATCCTTCTGTAAGCCCCTGGAGCAGAGTAGAGTGTCCCTTTTCAAGGCATCTCTCAAGTGTAGCACCTGTTACATCAAGGTAATAGTGCTTCTTTCTTTCCTTCTTTTTTTAGGGAAAGGGTCTCTGTCACCTAGGCTGGCATGAAGTGGCATGATCATAACTCACTGCAGCCTCAATGTCCTGGGTTCAACCTCCTGCAGCCTCAATCTTTCTGCCTCAGCCTCCTGAGTTGCTGGGACTAAAGGCATGTGCCACCATGCCTGGCTACTTTTTTTTTTTTTTCAGTCTCACTCTGTTGCCTGAGTTAGAGTGCAGTGGTGTTATCATAGATCACTGTAACCTTAAATTCCTGGGCTCAAGCCTTCCTCCTGTCTCAGCTTCCTGAGTGGCTGGGACTATAGGTGCATGCCACCAAGACCAGCTAATTTTTCTATTATTTTGTAGAGATGAGATCTTACTCTTGCTCAGGCTGATCTCAAATTTCTGATCTCTAGCAATCCTCCTGCCTTGGCCTCTCAAAGTGCTGGGATCACAGGTATGAACCACCTCAGCCAGCTTG